GGGTCGGCTACATGTAACATGTAAATGGAAGTGTTTATTGGGGCTACATGTGCTGTAGGTTGTAAGAAGTCACCCCTGAAATTAAGTCTATTTTCCATGTATGCTTGTCAGAGAGAATGTGAAGAAAGGTCTGTTATCTTGTGATAGATTCAGAACTTTGTGGGAACTCAGCTCTATACACCAAAATGTCATTGAATTCTTGGCAATATGTGAATTTTTTTTATGTGTACTTTGTATGCATTATTTTTGCAATTGTTTTTGTTTGCGTTTTACTGTAAAAATGTCAAAATCAAGTTGAGTAAATTGACTTGGTGTAAATACTGTTATTAACAACTGCTTTGTAGCAGTGTAAAACTCAATTTTAAGGTATTATAATGTACAGTTAAGTATTTATGTTATTGAACTCTCATAATGTTTGTTCTTGTACATGTTTTGTTTGCTGTCTACCCTGTTACTCTGTGTGCATTGTAGACTGTGAAGCAAATGGCATTTTGTGACTGTATCGGCTGGGTCAGGGATTATCTTATTATGTGATTGTCAGTGTGGAGAACAATCTCATAGATCGCTCAGATGATGGAGCATTGTAAGAAAAGGAAATTTGTATGTGTTGAGTGGGGAGTGAGTAAGTTTTGAGTTGAGTCTGCGCTTGTTGTGTTTGTGAATAGCAGGACCCGCTCTCTACATGCAAGCTCCTGATCTTTGAGACGAAATTAGAGAAGAACATGTGTGAATTTGAAAATCAGCGTTGTGAAAGTTCAAGGAGGAAAGTGTTGGCCAGTACTGGAATAAAAGTTGCTTTCACATGCTTGAACTCTCTGGTGACCTCTTTTCCAACATTAACCCTCCCTGAATATGTTCTGTCTTAAGATGTTCTGAATTTAGACATGTTAAATGTGCTGAGTTCAGAAATGAAGAGCAAAAAGAATGACCAACTTTTATGGGGTTACGCAGTATTTAATGTGTAGAAGTAACAGTATGTATATGCTTAAAGCCAGTGAAGAAATTGCCTGTATGTTTCTATGTAAATAAATAACTCTCTGAAAATATATTGTACTGTTGTAGTGAGTGGTTTCCCTGCATCTGAGTTAATAGAGACTGATGAATGACCCTTGATCAGGCTCCATTCTGTGTGTTCTATGACTTACTGTCAAAGCATTTGCTTTTTAATGTATTCTTGGGAGGCTTTGTAAAAGTCAATACCAACTAGTCAGTAAGTTGGAAAAAGAAATTCAACAGTTGTGTATTTTGATGACATGTTAATTTTTTTTTTTTTCATTATGTGTTAACTTATGAGGCTAAAGGTCTGTGATTGTTGTAGAGGAGTCATCTGCACATATCCTGTTTCTTCCTTCTCTGTATGCTGCACCAGGACGGTGTTTTGGAGTTCTGTCTCAGCGACAGGCCTTGTCAGCATTACCTGGACACACTCTCTGACCTCTTGGGTGTGAACTTAATCAATGGTGCTGTTCTCTGCTCTCCTGTCTTTTGTCTTGTTACTCTCATGCAGAATGGTAGTGGGAAAGAGTTGCCAAAACAAATGTGTTGTTCATGTTAGAAGTGTTTTAAGTTCAAAGTCCCTGATTCTCATATAAAAACTATGTTAGGTTGTTTTATTCCAAATTGAAATAGTTCAGTCAGACATTGTGATCTCTGAAATCTCAGTACAAAGTAAAGCCAAGATAAATACTGTGCTTGCTTTTGAGGACTCATTATTTAAATTGAATTGGTTAACCAGGGTGTGTTGAGGTGAAAACAGTTGAACAAGAAAGGTGCTAGGTAATAAATTCAGACAGAAGTTTTTGTTCTGTTGTAATTTTTTGTTGTTGATATTCACATGCTTGAAATGCTCTTGACCAGTCTGTGTACAATGATCCCTCCTCCATCAGGTCCATCCATACTTAAGTCTTCTTTCTTCACCCCAGGACCTGTCTTGCCAATGTGCTCGCGTGTTTGATTAGGTTTTATATATATAGTCGACTTTTGCATGCATGGCCTTAAGGAAAGGCTTGGTAAATTATGTCATGTTCATTTGACAATTGAAGACATGGAGGAAACTGTCCTGCTTATTTGACAGCAGAAAGGGGTGACAAAGGAACTGGCTGGAAGTACAATGTGAGCAACAACATCCTTCCTTATGTACATGGGTGTTATTTCTTTGCCTTTTTTTTTTTTTTTTTTTTAAATTCCCCGCTTTTCTGTGAAATGTAGCAACTTTTTTTTGGGTCCTTTGATGAGATTGATTTTATAGTTTTTAAGTTATGGTTTTAGGGCTTGGTCTCAAAGTGTACACTGGTGGGTGGTTGGCGGGTGCTCTGGTGTGGTTTGCTTCTTCTTTCCTATCAAATATCTATCATCCTTATCTCCCTTTCTTCTTTTTTATGTTTGTGACTCTCTTGTAACACCTCTATTCTTCTGGCGCTGATAATCATATGACCGTATGCAGTTGAGAGCGCCGTAAAACCTCTACTAAAACTAAAAGTGAACACTAGGAAGTTTGTAGGGGGAGTGGGGGTGGTGGAATCTTTCGCCTACATGCAAATTCTTCCAATTTTGAAAAAAGAAGAATGTTTTCAGGGAAACAGATTATATATTTTTAGTACCTATTCACTTATGTACCTGAGACTGAGATCTTAACAATGAAATGACTTCAAGAGTGAAAGTAAAAGTTCTCATTTAAAAAATTGTATTACAGGTTTTAGTTAGGCTTTGTACCTCTTCTTAGTCTATTGTACTGCTTCCTTTCCCTCGTCATTTCTGTATGCCCAATGTGAGTATATGAACCAACAACCAATTGTCATCATGAGACGTGTCATAATTTTATTGCATTTATGAAAGGGTTCCATGCAATGTTTTAACGGTAATGGGCAGGGTGCTATGGTCTGCAGTTTTTATGCGGGGGGGACTTGATCAATGATGGAGTACTTTTGAGTAAGACTCGCCCTACAAAGAATTAGTTTTTGGAGTGCGCTCCACGCGTCCTAGAAGAAAGCAACATTTATATTCATCTGAACATTTCCCATCCCCTTTCTTAATGTTTCCTGACCGTTCCTCCTTATGACACAAATGAGCCAATCAAGGTCCTCATGGGCATTTTGTTTAAATTTATTATGTTATTTATTTTCTATTAGGGATTCTCCTACAGACTTGTAATTTTGTCATCGTCATAACAGACGTTTGAATTGTTTGCCTAGCAAATTTGCAATGTAAATTTTGCTAGTAGTCTTCATGTTCACAATAAATGTATCCTTGATTACAAACTGAGTCTTGTTGGTGGTGAGTTGTTTGTGGAAGGGTGTCTGGTGTATTGATTTGTCCTTCCACCTTCCGCGCGGAGGGTACAGGATCTGAATCCCAAAAGGGGAAAGATTTTATTGTTTCTCCATCTGTCTGCTGATGAGAAATACAGTTGTGGGTGGTTGGCGGGTGCTTTGGTGTGGTTTGCTCCTTCTTTCCTATCAAACAACTATCGTCTTTATCTCTCCTCCTCCTTTTTTATGTTTGTTGCTCTCTTGTCTTCAGCACTTTTATGACTTTATTTGTTGCAAGTGCTGTAAAACTCTTACTTAAAAAAAGAAAAACAGTTAAACCTCATTATGCCGCCAGCCCCACTTACCGCCACATTTTGCCAGTGAACAAAAAAGGAGCACCTCTATTAAAAATAGAATCTGCGCCTTTACCCTGCCATCCACCATCTGTCTGAGTTGCACGGTCCTTATATAAATTAATTAAAATGTTCCCCGCCATACCACCAGCAAACTAGCCGCTGAGGTGCTACCTACATATGGCGCATGGCAACCTCTCAGTTGCTTGATAATCTCTCTCCCAAGCCACCTCGGCCTGCCGGTAAAATACAGGGTGATCCCAAAAAAACTGAACAACTTGTTCCAGCAAAGTGGAATTATTTTAAAGGTTAAGACGACGTGTTTGCAACTTTTGCTATGGCCAAAGCCACCAATATTCCAGCCTTTGCAACCCTGCTGCAATCACACTCACCCATCGAAAAAGGAATTTGATAGGGATAGACGACCCCCCAAAAAAGGCAAAGGATAGAAATAAGCAGATGACTGACTTGCTCAAAGGTTTGTTTCAAGTGAGAAAATGAAGCAAACAATAGACTCCCTCTCTTGCCTGGGTACAATGTATCTGATGGCTAGAAATAAAGAATAAAGTAAATAATATAGACCAGTAAAAAACACAGAACAGAAAATATGAAACTCAAATCATGGTATGTAAAATACATGCTTTATTCCAGAGGAAATAAAAAATACATGACTGAATATCATCAACAGCTATATAAATTAATATGAATGATATGCAAATATTTTTA